CGAGCACCGTCCCGCCGCGCCAGCCCAGCCTGGCCCCGCTCGCTCGGCACCACCACCGGCACCGGCGGGGGGTCTCTGCCCGGGGCACCTCTCCAAACCCCGCGGCCATTTCCAACACCCGCATCTCGCCTGCGCTCTGTGTTCAGCCTCATGAACAGATGAATTTCTGCCTCCCGGCTCACCCGCAGTATCCCCATCGTTGGTGAATATTCATTGAGTGAAATTAGCATCTATTAGGTCTTAATTAACTTATAAAAGGCTCGTTTTGTGCTAATGAAGTATATACTCTAGACGTGCCGGATGGCAGCTGATGGGTCCCCCCACCCGCGTGGCCATCCCCGAGCAGGGTCCGGTCCCTCTGCCCGCGGCACGGGGGGCTGGACCCCTTCTCCGTCCCCATGGCTGTGAGGTTACAGCTGTGAGGAGGTGTCTGAGACCCGAGCGTGTGCCGAACATCAGCTCAGGTTTGCAAAGTTTCCTTAGGGGATTGTGGCAATGTCCCGCACCGCTGCAGTGGTCCGGTGTCCGGTGTTTGGTGTCCGGTGTCCGTGTTCGATGTCCGGGCTGGTGGGGCGCTTCAGGTGCCTGTTGGAGTTTCGCTCCTTGGCTGGGCAAGCACAGCCCTCTGATTTGGGTTTCAGGGGATGTCCTGCTGCTGTGGGATGTGGGTGGGCTTTAGCTGAATGTCCCTATGAATTTGCTTAGAAGCTGTTAGGGAGGCACGGAAAACTGCCGTGCTCTGAGCCAGCGGTAGGATGTAGGAGGAGAACGCACGGTGCGCTAATGGGAACTGACCTGAGCAGAGACCTTTTCCCTCTCGACTCATTTTTCACCATTTTTCAGACTTTGTTCGGTTCAGCGTGGGGTGGGGAAGCAGCAAAGGCATCATCCCGGCGTGGCAGCATGCAAGCATCCCCAACACTGCCTGCTGGGAGCCGGACCCCGCTGTCCTGCAGGGCCGAGACAGGACAGGAGCCCGCGGTCCCGAGCAGGGAAAACCCGTCAGGACAGAGCTGGTGGAAGCAGTGGTGCTCACTGCATGTGTTTCCTCTGTTAGGATTCACTCTTGTCCTTAAAGTCACACAAGCAGCATGGGGAAAATGACTGACTTCAGAGGTGAGAAGAGAAAAAGCGATGACAGGAGTGTGCGGAGCAAAGACAGAGGAGGAGAGCAGGAGCTGCCCTCCCGCCGGCCAGGAGAGCCGCGAGGAGGCACTCACTGCCCCCCGGCATCCCTCTGCGCCCGCGGGGCCGCCAGGAGCACCCTCACCGCTTCCCTTCCACCTGATTAGTCTTTGCCTTTCCCCCGCCAGCGGCGGTGGCTGCAGTAGGTGGTTGTGTGCTTGGGAAGGGCCGCGGCGCCGGCGCAGTCCCTCGCAGGGAGTGCTCAGCAGCTGCAGCGCAGGAAAACCCTCGCCGAGCCGCAGCGTCAGCGGCAGTAGGGGAATGCTCACGGATGTGCTTCTCAGAAGCATGTGTGGTCAGGGCTTCACAGCGGCTCAGTGCATAATGCCTTTGTCAAAGCTGAGCAAATTATAAAAAAATTCAATTTAGCCATTATTGACTTTCTTCAGACAAGATACAGAACAGGACTTGAAGCACGCCGATAAATCAAATTTGGCCCCACAGCTCACAGACTGAAAGACTCCTTCATTATTGACAAGGAAGTGGAAGGAAGAGATGAGGAGGGGCTTCCTGACTTTTGTTTTTCCACCTGTTTCTTTAAATTAGATGCATCGTGTTCACGGTTGTGGACAAGATGGAGGACTGGGAGAGCAGGGCAGTGACGCTCAGCGGTGCAGCTTTGTAACAATTTGCTGCCATGAGCTTGCAAACGCCCTTCCTCCGGCATCTGCTCCCACGCTTGGGGGTTTGAACTCGGCAGCAACGTTTTCCTTTTTTTTCTTTTTCCTTTTGTGCTTCTTTTTTTTTTTTTTTTTTGATTGGGACCTGTTTCTGGAGCGGTGACAGCAAATGATCACCTCGGGCTGTGGCACGAGGAAGAGATTCCCCATCGGCGCCGCTGCCCGCAGCCGCCCTCCCCGCAGCCGCGCAGGAGCTGCCAGCACAGCCACGGTCCCTTGGGGCCCCTGCTGAGCTCTGCCCCACTGATCCCTCCCCGTCCCCTTCTCCTGCCCCTCGCACCGCCGCAGGGAATGCCGCAAGAACCATGGTGCGATGCGGGCCGGGGTTCCTTCTCGCGGGGGGACCAGGGGCTGTGTTGCAGGTCCGAAGGTGCAAAGCTAAATTATGCTTTCCTTGATCTGAATAATGTTACCAGTCTGCATGAGTTGGAAATGATAGTTACGTTTTAGTGGGGAGATGGATGCTTCCAACTGACATTTAAATCCGTGATTATGGCAGCGGTTCGGTCCAGGAACAGTTGAGACCGGTGCCAGCTCTTCCCCTTTGTCACGGATTACTGTGCTTGGGCAGGTCTCCAGCTGAAACAGAAAAATTCAAGCCACGCGCTTCCTGAAGCAGGAAATAAATTAAGTACTATTCAGGGGTTCCCATCACCCATGGGTTGTGCAAAGGAAGGGCCGTGTTTCCCAAAAGCCTCTCTTTTGTGCCCGACAGCCCCGGTGCCCGGGGGGGCGATGGCAGGCGTGAGGCGGGTTGCCCGCGGGGTCGGGCTCCGGGCGGGCAGGGGGACGTGGCGGCGTGGTGCCCACCAGGGCAGAGGCTGGCGGCTCCGCCGGCGCACGGCCAAAGCTGGCTGTGCTGTCAAGCCACAGAGAAGAAAAGACGTCTGGAAAAGTTAGAGCTGCTGTAGCTGTCAATAATGGAAGAGAGAACTTCCCAAACGCGGGTCCCCAGCAGCCGGGGCAGCCAGGCGCCTTCTGACACCCAGTTCTGAATTTTATAGTGGGCTGTATATAAAATGGGGGGGGGAGAGATGTTTAGTGACATTAGTAGCCAATGGTCACCTGAATCGTCATTACTGTTTTGTTACTTTAAAAAAGAACAAGTAGTTATATTTAATCCAATGAAAGTGGAAAGACCGCGATGATTACAGACTTAGAATAACAAGCAGTTTTCTGAGCAGCGGGAGCAGTACTGTCTGAACGCTTTGTTTAGACATGAGGAACATCTTGTTTTGTGTTGGTTTGTCTCATGCCGTGGGGAAGGCGTGTGATTTCCAGGGTGGCGCGTGGTGTCCCGCGGGGATGCTGGCTCCCCGCCGCGGCGAGGGCTG